GCAGTAGGCTGGCCTGCGGATAAATGAAGCCCAGACACAGCTCGCGTTCGGTTCGGTGACACTGCTGGGGCATAAAGTGGGTTAGGGAGAATTTAGCCCACTGCCCGTAAAATTAGCGAAGATCAAGGATTGTTCGCAATTCTGCGGTCGGTATCGGCGCGGTACTAAAGCAGCGGGATGGAATTTATGGTATATGCTAGTCGCGTGCTGACGAACGCTGAACAGAAGCCACCAGTGAAACGGACGCAAGTGATCGCGGTATCGGCGCGGTACTAAAGCAGCGGGATGGAATTTATGGTATATGCTAGTCGCGTGCTGACGAACGCTGAACAGAAGTACTCCACCAGTGAGAAGGAACGTTTAGCGATCATCTGGGATAAGTGGAGACCGTATATGATTGGGCAAAGGTTTCATGTCGAAACCGATAACGAACCCCTGGAGTGGATCAGGACCACCAGAAATCCTCGCGGGAAGCTCGCATGCTGGCCGCTTTGGTTGCAATGCAGCACGTGCCGGGGCAGGAGAATCATTGGCTGATTGTCTGTCAAGGCCGGAGGCTGAAGATGAGGTCCCCAAGATCATGATTGGAGCGAATGGCCTTGTCGTGAAGTTGGTGCAAATCCAACGGCAGGATCCGGTATTAAAAATGTTGCAGCCGCCTTGTTTGATGGAAGGAACATTGAGATCCGAGAAGGAGACAAGAAATAAGAAGCGTTCCAGAGTCACTTCGATTGGCTGGGACTGAATGAAGCTGTCATAATTTCCTGGAACGCCACTGATTCAGGTGTTGTGCTGCCCGTGATACTTCGCGTCTTGGGAGGAAATCTCATCGTTGGATGCCATGAGATGGCACATACAGTGTGCATCAAGACATGCAACCTACTTCGGCAGAGGGCCTACTGGCTCGGGAGGAGAAGTGAGGTGATGGATTATGTGCTGTCCTGTAAGCGTTGTTAACTAATGAAAGCGCATACGACAGGGGCAATCTATCCCATGAAACCCCTTCCTTTCTCAGAAATCAACGAGTTGTGGTCATTTGACATCATGTGCCCATTTCCGGTGACAACCAGTAGGAACCAATACATCGTGATGATGAAAAATCACCTTTTGCGATGGACTGAGGCGGCAGCCGTGCCGGATCAGCGGGCGACGACGATCTGCGGAGCGGTAATGCATCACATATTAGCCAACCGTGAGGTGCCAAAAATAATCCTAACCGATCAGGAGCCTAGCTTCGAGAGCGAATAATTTGGGAATTTCTTGCAGAAGTTGGGTATCCGACGGCTATGGACGGCACCATACCACCCGCAAACAAATGTCCTGACCGAACGTAATAACCGAACGATCAAGGAGTGGCTTGCGGCCAGAGGAGGTGACTGGGAAATGAACATGCCAGCAGTGTTGTTAGCTCATCGTGGTTCTACGCAGTCAACAACAGGCAAGTCCCCGTTTATGTTAATGTCCGTTCGACATCCGCGCCTTCCGTTTGATCAGGATATTGGGTTGTGGCTGGCAACGGGCTCGTCTACGGAGGAGCTAGAGCTAGAAATAGAGAGTGCTCGAGAAAATTTGACCGCCATTCAGGAAAGGGCTAAGCAGAAAACTGCAGGCAGAAGGGTCCGAACGTTTCCCATAGCCACTAAGTTCAAGTGGAAGGATCTCTGTAAGGACTGCCCTGGGGTCGCGGAAGCTGGGCAGTCGATGGCAAAGGCCGTTTGTATTCACCGAGCCCCGGGGGGCTTCTATACTATTTAAGATGGTCGGGGATAGAAATTAGTTATTGTGACTCAGCTGCGAAATGGCATGGTACACCTGATTGTCGGCCTAGTAGACACGCTGCCGAGGCCGACATGGCGGGGGTAAATGAAAATCGATGGCTTGCGAACGAGCTTTAAGTGATGGAGTTGTTTTCCAGTGATGCTACTGATCGGGAGGCACGTGAGCAGTATGGGTTATTTGTAGAATTTCGCTGTGCGATTGAAACCTGGAATCCTGTTGCTGAATTCGTGGGGTCACTCTGCAACATTTACTTGGATTTGACCGGCGAGTGATAAACACTCCAGCAAGACTCATTCGGGTGAGGATCTGATTCGATTTTCCGTTGCTAAGATACAGATTAGAGTTTTCCTTTCCTGTTCAATGGTCTGCAAACCGGTCATTTGAATTTTTTTGAAAAACTAACTCCGCAGCGAAGGCCTTCTTACTTTCACTAGTACTGTGTTCATCAACACAGTTTCCGTAGAGGAATAACTCTGGAAGTAAATTCACTTCTTACATTTGATCAAGGACAAACACTCAAAACCAACTCATCTGTGACACATCTGTCCGAAAACCATACCATAACATTGTTGATTCCAAGAATCGTCGAAAATTTTGGAACCCACAAAACTGATCTGCACAGGGGAAGTTCAATGAAAAGTACCGGCATTCTACTGGTTCGTCCGTTTTCATACGATTTGCTCCAATTGCGCAGGGTTTTGACCTAAAATAACCCAGACAATTTCCTCTACGGATAACTAACTTCAATAAATTTGGTGGATCATCAACAAACCCCGTTGCCTGACTGATTTCACAATTCCTAAAACAGTCTCGATCGGTTTCTCTTCCTCCACATTCAAGATCGACGGCTATTGCAACCAGAATCCCATCTTATCATGGACGTTCGTTGCTAATTCAAATAGCTCGCTACTGGCACTGCAGGATTAGTTACATAAACTGGACTACACATAAGGTTCTTGGAAAGGTATAGACAGCTGAGCACCTGTTTCGCCTTTCTTCGGGCTCATCAGGTAGGCGCACTTCCTGAGACCACATTTGCCTTGTGTTCTGGAAAATCATTCAGAGGAGGCAAACCACCATTGGTGGTTCACATGTGTCACCCGTCAAAATCAAATTCGTTAACAAGCGGAGCGTTTGACAAAATCTGTCGGGTTTAAGGTGAACATTAGATTGATGGAAAATCTGGGACTGCGACTCAGGGGCCCACTCCCCCCTAGGGGCCCTCAAGACGGGCGAAACCGTTCATATTTTCCTACGTATTTTGTTTCCTAGTGTTCACACACTTTCACTCATCTGCTAAGTAGCTGAAAAATTTCGCGTATTCTTCACTAGCAACGTGCGTATATATATAACAACGCTTCGAAATATCCAAAACTCAGATATACGGATACTCACCAACCCCTCTCATAAATACCAGTTTTCATGGCAGACCCAATATCTACTTGACATTCAGTGTGCCTCGCTGAAAATATTCAGCCCTGTTAAGCATAATGGCCAGTTCTTCACGAAAATGCTGAAGCCTTTTGTTGTATGAGGAGAGGAATCTTGTGTGAACAATCCTCTTTGTTCGTTTGAAAGCATTATCAGTCGTTAGTACAAAATTTAGTCAAAATGTCTGATCCTAAGTCTTCCTTATATGTGACGAATCGTTAGCTTCCATGATTAGAACGACTCCCTAGCTGAGATCCTGTTATCTATCTGCTTTCAGGTCCCCGAGGTAGCCCAGCATACATCCCATTTAATGGAGCTGTGCAAAGCCGGATACGAGGCTGAAACCCTCATTGACTCTGTTCAAAACTTCTGCTCCTAACGGACACGCCCATTATTGCCTGATTTTGCCAACATAAAATGGATTGCAGCTGTTCCCTATCGTGTTTTGCTATCGACGAGAAACATGGGTTGTATTTCAATGAAGCTGGCCTTTTGGTAATAACCAAAGCTTTAAGTAAATCCGTCGGGATTCTCAGGCCTTGTGGACTCATCAAAACACCTTCACACATCTGACGTACCAGTGCACGATTAGTGCACAATACGAACAAAAGTAGGCCGGTCAGAACATTCTTTTGTCGTCTGTCGACTCAAACGCACTGCCCAAATTTCAATGTTTCTCGTGGGCACTCAAAACTTGCTAGTAAAGAATCATCAAACTTAGCCACATCGTCTTTGAATATGTTCACGTACAGCTGTTTAAAACTGAATCTTATATTAAGATGAGGTCGCTGGGAAGACCTTAGTTTGTCTAACAATCAGACTCGTGAGGAGTCTTTGGGGTTGTTTGTTTCGGACAGTTGTTCTCTTAACACATTTTCAACCTGATGATCCATCAACTGGTTGATGTTCATGCGTGTAGAATGAGAAGGGATCGACTCAAAGCCAGATGCATCTAGTCCAGAATCATTATCCAGATACTCCAAGGAAGAAGTCCTGGATAAACCGGATGCGCAGTACCGCACAGAAATCAGCACAATGAACGGACCGATTACCAGGGGAGGAATAAAACTTGCTTTGTAACTGACCAATGAAACGCCAGGCGACAGAACAGGCCATTCGCTCACCCGGTTGATGCACAACAAAACCAGTACAACTATTCTTGAAATGACCTGCTACCCAGAAGATTGCTGAATAACCTTCAGCAACTCACTGTAGGTCTCATATTCGTATGTTTCATTTGATAGGCTTGCAATCTGATGTTCAATTAATGCAAGGTTGATAGGTATTCGCAGAAGAATAAATGAAAGACAATGTGACAGTTGGTTCACGCGTACCACGAATAGCTATCTTGTGAAAACTTAGATAATCATTCAGTACAGGACAGGCCTTCTGCCATTTACCACAACTGTCAACACTCAGACTGTGATGGAAATTTGTGTGTGAAACGTGGATCACAGATAAAAACACTCCTAAGCTGCAATGGATTGGTTGCTGTTTGGAGTAAGGTTACATACGCTCTAGTAGGAGCCAGCCACTGCATAACAACAGCACGAAATGCGTCCTTTTTCCCGAGTCCGTAAATTGTTCTACTGACTGCAAGTAATTGGCGATAGGCAGGCCAAGAAGCAAAGTTCCCCCGTCCAGTTAACTTTTGTGTTGTGACTTTATGGGAGCAGAAGTCATAACATATATTTTTATAGTAAGGAATGCGATTCATCCGGGCACCCTACGTGACAAAAAACACCTGAGTTTGGGCACCTCAACTCAGACAGCAATACAATTACTTCGGTTACACACACACGATTTGTCGATGGAATAAAGCAGGTGGAGCTGTTCAGCTACACCTCGTCTTTGGGTAAATGTCAGAGTAAAATAAAAGGAATGTTGCTGTTACATCCAACTGCTTTTCCCAATCCTCTGACTAGTGCCAGAAAAGTTACACAACAGCCCTTTTCCAAACAAGCGAATGTGTGCTTGTGGAGAAGTTACAACAGGCTCGCACTATTTAATGGGCCCTTTCTAGCATTAACCCCGACAGGCTGATGGCGTTTGGTGAACACCTTCAACATTGGTCGTGCTTCTGAGAGATGCCTGAACGCTAATCACATTCAGTAGTGCTTCTTTAGCGTTCACGAACGCTCATGGGCTGTTGCCCAATTGATTGAATGATTGACTTGCCTGGACGCTTGCCGGCTATCCTATTCAAATTTTGGTGGAGTTTTAGGGTCTCATGTGGTTCCGACCACCTAGGGTTACCTTCAGGATTCGGAACTTTCTGATACATAAAATACCCTCATTCGCACATTAACTACGCCTTGTCGGGGCACTCAAAAGAACCCAAAAATATCTTACGTATATACTGGTCAATTTCAACTGGAAATTGAACTAAATTAAGTTTCAGAATTCTCCTCAATGATGAGTTGATTCATTTCTCTTGATGCGCATATTGCTCGTGATATTATTTGTATCGCAAGGATAAATCACCTAAACTAAAGTTGATTGTTATTTTGTTTCGCTAGGCTGCAGGTTATCCAACGTAAATGATGTGTTTTGCTTCCCACAATAGGAGACAGCAGATTGAGCCAGTCACATGTAAATTAAGATTTCATATTTTGAAAAGACCATTCGTGCTACGAAAACGACGGAAGTGAATCACCCACCTCGGTCCAGCCCCCACTACTCCGAGGATTTATATTTACAACTAGCAGGTGCTCCCTATAGGAATGAGGATATTTTCCCTAGAGAGCTTGAGATAGCTCAGTGGTTGGGGTGCGAAATTAATGGTCGGAGGGTTCGCGGTTCGGGCCCAACATTGGCATTTCGCCTGCTCCTTTGTTGAATTGGCCAGTATCTCAAAACTCGTAATGGTTTGAGTGCAACATCAGAATGATTTATTATATTCTTCGCAGATGGTGTTCCTGTAATTCAAATGAAATAATTCGTCTCCTCAAAATTTAGAATCTCCTCTGACTTCGAGTCCCACCTTAGGTATTTGCATGTCACCTGTAGCCTTTGAACATTTTAGTTCCGGTTGTTTGAGTTCATTATCATTCAAGGAAGTCAGTAAGGTGATACTCGTTTGCAGTGGACGCATAACTTTGAGTGCGATAATCCGTGGTCCCAAGTCTGAAACAAAAAATCGCAATCGAGAGAGGTACATTCAAACAATCTCAAAGGGATAGTGCAATTATCAACTAGGGATACACAATGTCCAACGATAACGCGAAAGTCAAATTCTGTTAACATTATCATGACACTGGTGTAGAATGCAGTTAGATCTGCCTGCGGAATAATAAACTCAACGCCGCCAGTGTAAACAATGGAGTAATGATTTTCACAAGCAGCAGTTTCAAGAACATGCCACGAATCTCGGGGAAAAATAAAACGAGATGTTTTCAGATCGTGCTAATTTACATAATTCTCTTCATTAATGTTGGTGCGAATATTGCTCTTGAAATTACGTGTATCCCAAGGATAAATGACCAAAACATTCCCAGTCCTGGGGACATCCAGAATATCGTATGCAGGAGTGTGATACGCGACCCGATCGAAATTCCCGGGACAAAATAAGTGAATTTGCATCTTGTTTCCCTAGGCTACAAGCTAACTAACTTGAATGATGTATTTTGCTTCCCACAGTAGGAGACACCAGATTGAGCAAAACGCAAAAAACTTAACATATAACGTTTGTCCAAGACCAGTCGTGCTACGGAAACGACAGAATCGAAGCACGAACCTCGGTTGAGATACCCCAGAAGTTTTCAGATTTAAAACGAAAGTCATGGTGCAACCAGTAGATTATCCCTAGAAGAGTGAGGACATTTTCTCTAGTGATCTCGAGATAGCTCAGTGGTTGAGGCGCGAACTTTTAAGACTTCATACGCCGAACCATTCCGAATAATCGTCTGCGATCCGCGCAGCTGAAATAACCTTCAATAGGTCCGTTTCGGCAGGCAGAGTGGCATAAGAAAACAACCATATCTTGCAGAAGAAGACGTAAAAATCTGCGACCGCTGCGAGAAGATATAGGGCTAGGAATAAACACAGTCAATTTTTATCAATTTACACAAAAGCTTTCTATGTTCAAACCAAGGTCTCATGAAATCTCGGATTTGTAACTACGGGTCGGTCGTGGTTACTGCTTACCCAGATGTCGGTTCCTTGTTAGTACTTATTTTTCTATAATTTTTGCCACCTTTCTGGAAGAAACTGCAAGATTTACGAGAGAACCTTGGCTCTGTACAGGGATTTACCCTTCTGAGAATTTCATAAGAGGCTGTTTTTGTTGCGCGGGGCATTGAAACATCAAATGAAACATTGTGAACTACATACAATAATAAAGTAGGTGAATAAATGGATCAATTGGGTATTCAAGTTTCGCATGGCATGTGGTTTTCGAAAACTACCGTAAATACATCGGTGAATGCGGCGAGATAAGTTATCGCAATGCCTTTAATGGGCTAATTTTCTCATGTGGCAATGGGTTAGTACCGCAAAGCTGAAGATGAGCTCCCGTTATCGCTTTGGGCCAGTTATTTTGGAAACAATCATGTAGCCACGTGGAAACGCAATAAAAACAAGCCTACTTGTGAAATCACACTGTTTATTCGTACGTCTCCGGGAGAGAGAGACAACAAGAACGCGAGTGACATAGGTAAACAACCATATCTTGCAGAAGAAGACGTAAAAATCTGCGACCGCTGCGAGAAGATATAGGGCTAGGAATAAACACAGTCAATTTTTATCAATTTACACAAAAGCTTTCTATGTTCAAACCAAGGTCTCATGAAATCTCGGATTTGTAACTACGGGTCGGTCGTGGTTACTGCTTACCCAGATGTCGGTTCCTTGTTAGTACTTATTTTTCTATAATTTTTGCCACCTTTCTGGAAGAAACTGCAAGATTTACGAGAGAACCTTGGCTCTGTACAGGGATTTACCCTTCTGAGAATTTCATAAGAGGCTGTGTTTGTTGCGCGGGGCATTGAAACATCAAATGAAACATTGTGAACTACATACAATAATAAAGTAGGTGAATAAATGGATCAATTTGGGTATTCAGTTTCGCATGGCATGTGGTTTTCGAAAACTACCGTAAATACATCGGTGAATGCGGCGAGATAAGTTATCGCAATGCCTTTAATGGGCTAATTTTCTCATGTGGCAATGGGTTAGTACCGCAAAGCTGAAGATGAGCTCCCGTTATCGCTTTGGGCCAGTTATTTTGGAAACAATCATGTAGCCACGTGGAAACGCAATAAAAACAAGCCTACTTGTGAAATCACACTGTTTATTCGTACGTCTGACTCCCCTTAAATTGACGTGAACTTCGCAACATTTGACGTCATTCCCTCTCCAGCCCCATACATTATACAATTC